AACATATTTAGATTAGTTATTAAATAGTTATTAAATACCAATCACACGTGGAAAATAATAGGACTTATTCGTACCGAGGTCTTCAATGATCACTTTTTACCCACCAAAAACCTTACCAATCAATATCTGATCCATGAAAGAGTCTTGAAGAAATAAATGTTCTGGTTGCTAAATCTTTTATCGATGGAGCACTTATATTTTGTAGAGCACGAACACTAGGGTCTAGGAAGATATATTATTATAAGAAAGAATCAATAACTCTTAAACAACGACAAATAAGTTTTACAACTTATTTGAAGCTTTTTGCTTTATCTTCGTGGATAATAAATAATAACAAAGATAAAAAATGAAAAATAACCATGTTCGATTACATCAATTTTTCACCAACTTGATCCCTACTAGCATTAGACCTCAATGGGATCAATAAACAAAGAAATGATGTGGGGTTTCAAAACTTTTTGTGGCTATGTATATCCATCTTCGTTGCCTTTATAAGTGACATCTATAATACGTTCAAGGTTGAGAATGCGCATTAAAATTTCTCTTGATGAGGAAGTTGGTCGCATATACTCTTCATTAATATCCTTCCATGCATTTGTAACCATTTCAATAAACTTATCAACTGCCACTTCTTTAGTCACCTGGTTCTCTTTCATGTATGATTCGATGTCAGTGGCAATTTGGCCTCAATAAGGCAAAACTTGTAGAAGATAGATAAGTAAATGAGGTTGTTTATTTGAAGAATTGTAGCGTCCTTATAACAAACTTTGAGTGCATTGCATACCTCATATGTAGCAATGTCATCAATGAGTCGACATATTATGAGGCTAGCAACAAGCATTTTAGGTTTATTGCTCAGCCATTCAAAGTCTTCCTCAGTGACAGATTTGATCCCCCCAACAAGGATGTAGTTGTATGATAAACATAAGTGCATGTGATTAAGGCATTGCTCATATATTCAGAAAACAGTGGCAAGTATCCTTCAATGAACCACTTGGCTTCTCACTTCATTCTTAAACCCTTCAATCTCGTTGGCATATTTTTCTGCCATTACTATTTGAAACCTATTAGAAGTTCTTTCATAGCCTAGCCATATTACTATTTGAAACCTGGTTACTACAAGTTTTTTTTTTTTTTTTGGGTCGTTGTAGCACCACCAGATGCAATGACTGCTTTGCTATAGTTTTTTCCCATTTTTGAGCCTGGCTGATTTAATTTTGGTTTTATCATCTCGTTCCATTTTGTATCCTTTTTCCATGTCGAATGCGTCGACATATTCCTATTTAAATTCCATTGGTAAATCTTCGCTTTTGTGTCAAAAATCAATAGGCTATCATAATTCTTGTTTAAATCGGCATTCACTAACATATTGGGATTTGAAGAAGACATGTAACGCCCCGACCCCTAGTGGATCGGAACGCTACTTACTTTACTTAACTTAACCGGTGGTTTAGTAACAAGTGTATACGTTTTAGTGGAAGCTTACATCTTCGGATAATAATTTAAATAACAATACTTCAAATACTTTAAACAAAAATACTGAATCATTTTTCAAAACAACAAAATGTAATTTATTTGAAGAAAACATAACAAGTTCTCGCATTCTGCGTTATTCAAAATTTTAAAGAAATAACATTAGAAAATATTTCATAAAAATAAATTCAAATCACTTATTCACCGGATTTCCATGGACTCGTTACATCACTCTCCATCTTCTCCTCCATCCATACTCGAGATAGAATTCCTTCAATCTGTAGAGATGAGATTAAACCCGTGAGTTGAAAAACTCAATATGTGTCATAGGTGCATTAGTGATCAAGTTATACATTTCAAAACATTAACTTTATAACTTTTCATACATGCCGTACCCAGAGGCACCATTTGACATGAAGGGATATGCTGTACCCGAGGGCAACATTTGACATATGAACATTTCTTCAACATAGAGGGGTATACCGTACCGGAGTACCATTTGACATACAACCATTAACATAGAGGGATTTACCGTACCGGAGTACCATTTGACATACAAACATTAACATGAATCGAAACTTATAATTTAACACGATTAAACACATTGCACCTCTACCTACTTGATTGATGCTTTTGAAACTTGGATTGAAAACTTCGATGAAACTTGGACGTTGAAAGAAATGCACTCCTTAGATGTTTGAAAATCGTTGAAAATTGATGCTTGAAAACATTTCTTAAACTTCTAGGAAAAATAGTTTTCCTCCCTCTCTTTTTCTCTTTTGGAAACTTTTTTTTTAGTATGTAAAAGCTCTTGCTTTTGGTGTGAAAAAAAATGAGTGAAATGAGGTCTCTATTTATAGGTAAATATTCCATAACTTAAAGTAAATGAAGGGTCAAATTTCATTTAAGAGAGAAAACATGGGTGCTATTTAAGTTTGAGGTTAAATGCTTCAATTTAGTGGGGTTTTTATTGCCAAAAATGTGGGTGGCCCTTTGAGAAAATAATTGATGAAAATAAATATTTAAATTCTAGAGAAAAATGAGAATTTTCGATCGACCGGTTGTTGTCTAGTTGACACTGCATAGCTTTCAATTTTTCTATCATAACTTCTTCTTCTGATATCCGATTGAGGTAATTCAAAGTGCGTTGGAAAGCTAACTCAAAGAGCTACAACTTTTATTTAGATATCATTTTCCAAATCGAATGTTTCCTATGTCGAAAATGGGTCTCAAATGAGACTAAAAATCTGAAGTATACTTTAATCATCCAATATTCATATCTTAGTGCCACTAAGGTGTCTAGAATTATTTGGGGTTCTACAAGACAAAAAGATTATAGTTAACGAACAAAAACTACGCACCCTCTTAGTGGCGATTTGATGTGATGTGTCAATATTTACATCGATTGATATAATTATTTTAAATGCCAATTAAGTTAATAAGAAGACTTGCTGGCGTAGTTGTACTAACTCATCTTATTGTATAATTAAACTTATCACTATATCACGAACTTCGGGATATAACTGAGCTCTATTAGTAAAATTGATGAAACGGAATTTTAAGTTTTGAGGTCTAATTATTATCGCTATAAAGAGTTTGTATGTGAATCAACGTATCTCTCTCTCTCTCTCTAAATAGGGGCCATCATTAAGGTCTATGTAATCACCATAAAAAAGAGAGGCAAGAGAAAATAGAAATTGTAATTGTAATTTTTCTCTTGTAAACCTTTTTTCATTACAATAAATTACTACAACGATGAGAAGATGACGTAGTTTCACATTAAGATGGACATCTATAAACCTTGTGTATTCTTCTATGTATTTTCGTCCCTTATTGTGATTTTATTGTTCTTGATGGTATAGAATTATGGTTTTTAATTCTCAACGCAAATTCATGCGAAATATGATTAGAATTGCAAAACATTCATTGATTCGCTAGAATACATATAATTTTGTTAATTCGCTAGAATTATCAAATAATTAGAAGAATTGAGAAACTCTCAAAATTTTATTCTTGAATAACTAAAGTACAATAATGCTACAATGAGAGTTTAAATAATAAAATCTAGTTAGAAATTTCCAATGTTGTGAAATATCTAATTGATCCTTAATAAATAAACAATTAAGTGAATAAATAAAAATTAATCAAAACTATTAAATTAATTAAAACCATCCCCGTGTTAATCCTATCGCATTAGGTACGCTACAAAGTAAGCTATATAAAATTTTGTCGCTAGTGACTTATCACTGAGAAATCGTTCAATCCTTGCAATGTACATCCCAATCTATGTTTGAAACTCATTTTATTTTGTTATGTGACTAATAAATACCTTATCAATATTTTTTTGGGTCATCAAATATTGCTTCTCGTAGGTAGCCTACTACAACAATGGAAAAAACCACAAAATAAATATAAAAATAATTGACTAATAACTATTGGTGAAACAAGTTTATGGTGAAATAATATCTATATGAGATGATTTGACGACCAATAGGCGACCAACTATTGGTCGTCAAATCATCTATTTTTATTGACACGTGTCAATTTGATTGTCGAAACCCCAATCACACGCCAAGTCAACTACCAATCCATTTTTGGTGTTGAACAAGATCAGTGACCAACAATTGGTCGCTACATCATTATTCTCAAAAAGTGTTTAGCGACCAGTCTCTATCGATTGCAAAAAATGGAGCTTATTCGGTTAAGAGCTTATGCGACCACTTCTAATTGGATTGTTTCACCAACTGTTAGTCTCTAAAACTTATAATTTCACAAACTACTTTCAGTTTGATTGCTTAAAATCCAACCACACGCGAAAAAAGCAGAAATGAACACTTCTTGTTTGGTAAATGAAACCAAACAACAACGACCAACCATTGGTCGTAAAGCTTATACTTTCACAAGCCACTTTTATATAATTGGCCACTAAAATTACAATCACACGCGAGAAAGAAGTGGGGTTTATTACGCTGAAGCCACTTCTTGTTTAGTCGTTAAACCAACCATCAGCGACAAACCATGGTCTCTAAAGCTTAGATTTTCACCGAACTCATTTAGATTGGTAGCTAAAACTACAAAAACACGTGAACAAAAGAGGGGTTTATTCCCATCGAGGCCTTCAACGACCACTTTTTGTTTTGTCGTTGAACCAACCATCAGCGACCAACCGTGATTGCTAAAGCTTATACTTTCATCAACACATTTAGATTAGTTGTTAAGTCCCAATAACACGTGAAAAATAATAGATCTTATTTGTGCCGAGGTTTTCAATGATCACTTTTTGTTTGGTTGCTATGTCAAGAATCCATTTATTGATTAGTGAAACCACAATCATGTGCGAAAAAAATAAGTTGGGTTTATTCATATCAAGGTCTATAATGACCAATTCTTGTTTGATTGCGGAAACGGACCACAAGGGACAAATTTTTAGTCGCCAAAGGTTATAAAAAAAAAAATAGTCCATATTTAACCAACCAAAAACCTTACCAATCAATATCTGATCCATGTAAGTGTCTTGAAGCAATAAATGTTTTGGTCACTAAATCTTTTATCGATGGAGAACAATGAATAAGGTTTACAGCTTATTTGAAGCTTTTTGCTTTATCTCCGTGGATAATAAGTAATAACAAAGATAAAAAATAAAAAACAACCATGTTCGATTACAACAATTTTTTTCACCAACTTGATCCCTATTAACATTAGACCTCAACGAGATCAATAAACAAAGAAATGATGTGGGGTTTCAAAACTTTTTGTGGTTGTGTATATCCATCTTCATTGCCTTTATAAGTGACATCTATAATACGTTCAAGGTTGAGAATGCGCATTAGAATTTCTCTTGGTGAGGAAGTTGGTCGCATATACTCTTCATTAATATCCTTCCATGCATTTGTAACCATTTCAAAAAACTTATCAACTGCCACTTCTTTAGTCACCTGGTTCTCTTTCATGTATGATTCGATGCCGGTGGCAATTTGGCCCCTTTCCTTTTCAACCTTCAATAAGGCAAAATTTGTAGAAAATACTTAGATAAGTAAATAAGGTTGCTTATTTGTAGAATTGTAGCATCCTTATAACAAACTTTGAGTGCATTTCATACCTCATATGTAGCAATGTCATCAACAAGTCGACATATTATGAGGCTAGCAACAAGCATTTTAGGTTTATTGCTCAGCCATTCAAAGTCTTTCTCGGTCACAGATTTGATCCCCAACAAGGATGTAGTTGTATGATAAACATAAGTGCATGTGATTAAGGCATTGCTCATGTACTCAGAAAACGGTGGCATGTATCCTTCAATGAACCACTTGGCTTCCACATAGTATGTCCTCACAAGTTCTTTCAACTGCATACAAATTAGTAGATATTTGAGTAACATGAGGAAGGGAAATTAACTATAAAAAACCAAATGCAAGAATAATATGAACTTAGTAATAGCGGATTAATAGTAAATGTATTACTTACAGCTTCTTTTGCATAATGGACCGCATAAGATCTTCCTTCTTTTGATAGTTCTTCATCAAATTGCTCATAAAGATCTAAAAGAGCACTATAGAATGGTTTAATGTACTCAGGAAGCCGATCAACTTCACTAATGTCCCACCTAAAAAACAAATTCTCATAATTATGATCACAAAGAAACAATTGATTACCTTACGAAACTATTTTGTATTAATAATGTGGATAAACTTAAAAGAAAGAAATATGTACCTCATAATGGCCTCTGTAAAAACTTCAAGTTCTTCAACTGTACCATAGGCATCATATGTATCATCTATTATCGATGTCATTGCAATGGTTTTGGTGAGCATGATTCGAGCAATTGAATATTGAGGTTCATGATAAACACCCATAGCCCAGAAAAAGCATTCTACCACTCTATCTCTAGCATATGGAAGCTTAGAAACAAGGTCCAAATCCTTCCACCACCTGCAATATACATAAGGAATGTATATTATTAATTAATGTAAACACACACAGAGACAGAGAGAGCTATTTTATGTAATTGTCAATTGAACATTACCTTGATACTTCATAGAGCTCCTTTTTATGCAACATTTGCAAATAATTATAGTCTAATTTGGCAAATCTAAGCAGCATTTCATTTTTGGACTCATCT